ACGTTCCGGCGTCGAGAAATCGAGTAATGCTGTATACAGTCAAATCGAGATCATGATTATCTGAGGTTAAATATGAGGCAAATTCACATACATTGCGCTGTGGCTGTCAAAGACGAATATGAGTTGTCGCGGTTCCAGTTAGTCGCCTCGGCGAATGCCAATTGGATGTAGTCCATGAAGTCAAGCATTGTCAAGGATTTCTCAACTCAATTCTTCAGCCCAGCCGTCATTTATTATAAGTCCACTCCAAAGGAATGAGAAACGAATCCGGCGCATCGATAATTAATGGACGATGGTGATCTTGGAAACGAAGGTTGAAGCCCCGACATCATCAGCTCGTTTCCTCATACGACTTAGTGTAATCGGATAAGCCCCGCATCAATGTTAATCCGCCTGTTATCAGCGAAGAAAAAATAATCGTATCTTTCTGCTCCTCCGAGTCAATTTTCCGTGTCTGTATATTTCCACATCTTTTAAGGCGTACAGAGACACGCCTAGCTATAATCACTTCCAGGAATTCAAATCCTACAAATTTTTCGCAATGCCTCGTTCAAAGCGTGCCAGAATCGTCCACGAGTCGAAGGTCACCAAGAAGTCGCACAAGGAACAGACCAGACGACTTTATGCCAATATCCGCGAATGTGTTGAGAACTATGATCACCTATTCGTTTTCTCTGTCGATAATATGCGCAACACCTATTTGAAGGATGTGCGCACCGAGTTTGCCGATAGTCGGTGAGTCCTCCTAATTTTCACGTTCAGCCCCGCGGGACATACATGCACTTTTACAATGTGCAATATGCCAGCGAAAACATCATCGTGCTTCAATGGTTGACATTTCAAATAGTCTTTTCTTCGGCAAAACCAAAGTCATGGCCGTTGCCCTCGGCCACAACCCCGAGACCGAAGCCGCACCCAACCTGCACAAGCTCTCCTCCTACCTGACAGGTGCCGTCGGTCTTCTCTTCACCTCGCGCGATCCCGAGTCCGTCCTCAGCTACTTCGATGCCTTCCGCCCCCTCGACTTCGCCCGTGCTGGCACAGTCAGCACCCGCTCATTCAGCATCCCCAATGGCCAGGTGTACTCCCGTGCTGGTGAGATTCCTGCGTCTGAAGACGAACCCGTCAGCCACACGATCGAGCCGGAGCTGCGCAAACTAGGCGTTCCTACTCGTCTGGTGAAGGGTAAGGTCATGCTCGAGCTGACGGATGGGCAAGAGGGTTACCCTGTCTGCAAAGAGGGAGAGGTTCTGGATTCGCGGCAGACAACGTTGCTGAAGATGTTCGGTGTTGCTAGTGCCGAATTCCATGTCGATCTAAAGGCGCAATGGACTCGGAGTACCGGTGAAGTCAAGATTCTCGAGAAGGATGAGGGGATGGAGGTTGATGGACAGTGATTTCCTTTTCAAGAACCTTTTTTTCTTCTTTTCCCCCCAAAATTTCCTGGGCATTAAGTGGAGTTGGGCATAGGCGTTCTTTCGTTTTTTTTTTCTCTTTTTATATTGGTCGAAGACTATTATTCCTTCCTAGATGTTGCTGGACGAGCGTACGATGGACATAGTATACCACGCAGAAAAGCATTTACGCAGGATATCTTCCATTCAGTCAAGGTAACAAGCATGAACTTATGAACTTATGTAAATAGGTTACCCGTTCTTACTTGCATACGAGGAATTCTGGCATCGACATTGCCGTTAAATATGCCTTACCTGCGTTTCTTACCTCAGCATCCCCGGATCCCAACGAAATTGAACCTAGGAAAATGACGGCTACCTAAAATACATACCTACCCTGTGCAGAGTAACAGAGACCCTAAAAGGGCCGAAACAACAAAACGAGACGGAAAACACGCAGCCCAGAGGCGAGAACACGAGATCGTAAGGAAGAAAAGGGGCCATCACGAATAGTGCCTTCAAACCTTGACCCTTCGTAAAGGAAACAGTAATAAGTGAAGCCTTCGGCGGATGAAGATACCTGGTGACAAGCGGGAAAATGTAACACATAGCGTTTCGACTGTGCGAGTTATTAATGCTTCCATGGTCGTGAATGTCGGTGTTGACTTTCGTTGACTTTCGTTGAATTGACCTTGCCTTACCCATTGCATCAAACAGGACAAGGGAAGAAGGGAAAGATCAAGCATAGATACCCACCAGCCAACCATGCTGACGCCTGCGATGGGGGAACTTAATCCAGCAGGGAAGGATCAGTACCTCCTTTTCGCGCGGGGATCTTCGTAGGAATCGTCTTCGTGATATCTCTTGCGGCCATAGTCTTCTCGGCCACCATATCTGTCACGTTCGCGGTCGCGGTCACGGTCACGGTAGCGATCCCGATCACGGTCTCTGTGACGGTCACCTTCCCGATCACGATCATGATCACGTCGGTCTCGCTCCGAGTAGCCCTCTCTGGGCCTGACAGGCTCGCGGTTGCTGCCAGTTACACCTGGGCCGCGGGCATCTCTCTCATACTTTCCACCTCCAGTATAGCTGCCTCCAAAGCCAGCATTCCGGCCACCACCAGGACCGGAGGGAGCGTTTGGTGGAGCCTGTCCACCGAAGCCGTTGCGTCCGCCCTGGTAACCAATCCCGCCACGAGGCCCAAAGCGATCGCTGCGATATCCTCCTCGAAATCCTCTACCTCCATATCCGCCCCGGAATCCACCGCCAAACCCTCCAGGGCCAGAAGGCGCAGCGAAAGATCCCGGACCGGTGGGACGCGAAAGTAAAGCCTTAGTATAGCCACGTCCTCCCAGTCCTCCGCCGAAGCGGCGAGGCTTCCAGCCTTTGACTGTGCGACCACGTTCAACATCTACCAAGACACGTCGATCCTTGATTCGGATTCCATCTGTCTCTTTGTAGGCAGCTGAGCCGGGACAAGGATGATCAGGTCAGCAAGGATTTCCAATAATTGGGTCAAGAGAGGTATTAAAGGTTTCACTATAATTGTGAGTAGCAGCAGTACCTTTCATGTCCTTTTCACGCTCATATACGATGAAAGCATAGCCCCTGTGTGGCTTCTTTGAGCCCTTCGGTGTGACAGTGTCTTTCACAATGCGAATCTAACAGAGTTAGCTTTGAATAACACTTCGAATTCAAATAAACTCACTCTTTCAATTGGCCCAAATCTACCGAACTCTCGTTCTAGGTCTGACTCCTTCACATCGTAGCTCAGTCGAGCAACGAAGAGAGTCCTAAAGGGATCGCCCCTAGCTTGAGGGTCATTCGAAGGTTCATCTAGGCAGACAGTTAGCACTATTGAACAAACGTTAATGTAATGGTCAAGGCCCTTACAAGATTGAAGGCCTTCAGTCAACTGCTTTTCCAGCTTCTCCTTTTTCTCGACCTTCTGACGCCACTTGCGTTGCAGCCAGCTTTCTGTGGCATTGTAAGGAACTTCCTCTTCGTACGTCTTAAGCTCTCCAAGAAAATCTGCAACGCCGCCGATGGTACTCTTCTTGACGTCTTCGGGTGCGCGATCAATGGGAGGAACGTAACGTAATGGTGGACGAGGCTGGAAGAGCGCGAGAAGGGGAGGGGGGAGTTTGTCCGTCATTTTGACCCCTCAATGATTTTATTTCCAAGCTAGCGACAACTCCTCGAAGTGATCTGAACTCATGGGGCAGGAGGATAGGTAATAGCTTAGGTATGTTTCTTCGGACTTAAGATTCTCGCGGCCAGGTCGTCGAGAGTTTCGCGTTCTCCATTAGTTGGATGGAACCACGGAAGTGGGACTTCGGAAGCGCCAGCCGCGCTAAGCGGGTTTGCCGCCGTCCAATGGGGAACTACGTTGCTTGCGGTCTTGAAAAGTCGCCGAATTGTTTCTAGAGGGTCTGCTAGACAGCGACAGTGATCAGAAAATACATCACAAAATGCCTGTACAAGGTATTAGAACGGTAGCTAAAGCCAGGGTATGATGCAAGCATTTTGCCAAACAATGATCGCCTCCTTCTGGTAACTGACATGCTGCGAATTACAGAACGGCGTGGGCGCCTTCATCCTACAATGCAAGCGTCTGGATTTCCACTACTGTGACTGGGCAGGTAGTTCGAGGGGCATGGTGTATGTCCAATCTCCTTATAATCTATCAATGGATTGAACTAAGTTGTTCTGTCATGCAGCGCTTTCCTGAAACACTCTCTACCCTCCTTCGCCAAAGCCAACCCTCAGATCGAAATCCGAGTATCACCACGGCCGCACAAACACCCGGTAATCAAAGGTCACTACATCAACGGACGAGAGAAAGCGATTTGCGTCCGGAATTTGGAACCTGAACAAATCTTGAACAAGGCGAATCTGCTGAAGGAAGCCAGCGGCGAGAAGCTGAAGCGCACCAAGAAACCCGTCACCAGTATTAACGAGAGTGTAAGAGGCATCTGGTCCCCGTACCACGGAGATCTCAAGATGGTATGAAGCAGTGTTGGGGGTGTTTAGACTGGTGTTGTGGCTCCATCTTTCAGCCTTTTCTGTGTATAATGTATATCATGGGTTGTTTCTGTTCTGATCGTGTTCGTCCTTATCCACCCTGAGGCTTTTCTATTAGGGGTCATTGCACGGTATGTACAAAATGGATACCTTTCAATGTCAAATAGACAGCGAGTTGCATGAAACGCTGCTATGGACCGTTATCTACTAAAGGTAGAATGAATAAATGACATGCCTCATGCCTCGACTATCCAGAAAGAGTTCCTCAAGTGAACAGAAAATCATAAATGCCCTCGCGCCCACAGTACAAATGCAATGGGGTATCAAGAATAGGGAAATCGAGGAAACGCTTTAACTCCGCCGAAGACACCTCACTATGCGAAACCGATCATCGTTAAACATACGGACACAGAGGTGATCAAAGGTATATCTGGAACATTGATTTGGGTGCGCTGACAGGTTTGCCGCAATCAACGACCTGACATTTAGAAAACGGTTTGGTTCTCTGGGGAGTCTTCTTGGCCTTGGAAAGAGCACGATTCCTGGCACATTCGCCACAGTATACCTTGAAAACGTCAGCTAGGTACCAACATATGATAGGAATGTGACACGAACATGTCCACAAGGTTTCGCTACCCAGATCTGGTGCTTGATGTCATCCCCTGTTCCGAGTTCCTCATCACAATTTGGGCACACGACCAGATCGTCCTCCCCGGCACTTCTTGTGAATCCATCCGGGGGAGGACTTGGCGGTTTGTACGAGCTCTGACGGGAGCCTCTATCTGAAGTCAACCCAGAAGCAGGATACTCAATTCTCAATGACCTATCCCCGACTATCGCGAGATCCATAGCGTCCTCAAGATCGATAGCTTCCTCCGCAGCACCAAGTAAAAACATATCCACCTCATGGGGCGGACGACGTTGAAGGTCTCGTGCTCTCCATGCAATTTCCTGTCTGAAGCTTTCCCCTCTTGACATGAGATGATGCGGTGCCATTTGACGTTGTAATCTTATGAAATCCCAGAGATTCGCCCCTATGAAGCCCTGATTTCTAGGCGGAGGCGCCGGCACCGATTCTGACTGGCGAACTGTAGCTCCGACAAACTGCACTTCCGGACTGCTTGGGGAATCTACTTCAATTATCTCTTCTGGTTCTTCTTCAAGATCGACCACTTCGGCCATTATGTCCCTTCCAAATCGTGGTAGTCGTGGTGTGGTTCGTGAATCGCCATTTTGCGTTCTTCTCTGGTCTTCCGGAGAATCTGGCTCGTTCGTCAAATCTATGACATCCTCTGTTTGAGGAGAATTGGACATTATCGGTCGACGGAAATCATATCCATCTCCAGGATATCTCATCTGTGGCAATGGTGGGCGGCTATGCGGAAAATTGTAGCTTTGGGACGAGGATGGTTCAGCGTCTGAGCGCCAGCGAGACTGATGTTGACTTCGTGATGATTCAGACATCTGATCATGAGGACGCTATGAAGGATAGTCATTAGAAATGCCCGCAAAAAGCTGTGCGTGGGTTTGTGTTGGTATTGTAAAGAAATGCCCCGCTCCGTGAAGTTCATGAATGCATTGGAACAAACCTTTCTTGGCCGCGCCGCCACAAACTGGATGCCTGAATCACTGTTCATGTCGAGGAAGTGAGGTCAATGTCAGTGAATGGAGAGAGTTGAACTGAAAGGGGATAACATGGAAGGTAAGGGATGCTTGAGCATCCGAAGTCGGTAGGGCCTCCCGTCACTGTTGGTGGTGGAGGCCATGATTAGCTGGTTCCGAGTCTCTATGGTGGAGAGATGTCATACCGCCGCCCAATGCATAAATTTATAAGCAGTGGCGAAAGCATCTAAAACATCTAAAAGCAAGACAAACTACGAACTTGCGCAAGGCACCATGAGCTGGGGCAAGATTATAAACGCTGGCGCGAACCATAGTGGAGGAACAGACAGATATGCTAACTGGAGTCATCTAACCTTAAAAGTGCTATGATTGAGAGTTGAAACAGAGATGAATTTCTTTGCCTTGTGTCGCGATCCTGATCGTAAACCTTTTAAGCCTAGCGTGATTGAGGACAATGAAATAAGACAAAATCGGAAACGCAATTGGCTAGAAGTACAAAAGGGATTCCTTCTCTGTAAGGTATCATGACTGTTGTGCTGTCAAAACTGTGATTCCACCTTCGCTGTTCAATGCCACAATGCTCTGGGCAGCAGAGCCCCAAGCCACTGCTACTGCTGGCACGGCACTGCGCAAAGGCTCCGACCATTCTTTGGACGCCTTCGAGTATTGCTGAACAGTCAAACCACTGGGACCGCCAGTGAGAAGGAACTGCCCAGTGTAATCCCAGCAGATTGAATCTATCTGGCTGCCCGTCTCCAGAACCTTGATCTCCTTTGAGCTGCGAAGATCCCAGATGGACAGGACAGTCGAATTATCGGCCACTGCAGCAAGGAATGTGCCGTTCTCGGAGAAGTAAAGGCACTTGACGGGGCCAGACATGGCGTAATTGGCGGCCGCCGCGCCAGACTTGACGTCGAAAATCTTGATCTGACCGTCTGCGCCACCAGCAGCGATAAGATGCCCGTCAGGGTGGAATGCCACGGATTGAAGAGCTGAAGGAGAAGGGAGAAAACATTAGTCAAGGTCACAAATGAAATGATTCAGCCATTGCTTACATGCGTCTGTGAAAATTTGAGTGATGACAGAGTTAGTTGTAAGGTCATACAACACATAGCTCTTATCAACGCCAACGGAGCCAATTATGTCGCCAGTAGCATGCAGAGCAAGCGCTGTTGCTGAACCAGCATGGGAAGCAAAGTTTGCCAGTTCTTGGCCATTCTCAAAGACCTGGACGGCACCCGTAGACGACGCAATGACTGCCTTGTCACCAGCCCATACAGCACTGGTAACCGGGCCGCTTGTCTGCAGATTTCCAACGACACGTTTCTCAGAGAGGGAGTAGACACCGACCGTGCCATCGGCACCCCCCACGAGAGCCAAGTCTCCGGCCGCGTTAACGGATAGAGCCTTGCCGCCTGGGCAGAGAGGCTCGGACGTCTCAGTGGGCTTATATGTAGAGAGGGCATCGCTTGTCGCCCAGCCTTCCGGAACAGGTCGCTTGCGACGTGTCTTGGACAGCCTACCTGAGGTTAGCAATACAAGAGACAAATTGAAATAGCTATGTCACGTACGCCGCCTGTGTGCTCTCAATTCTTGCAAGTACAGCATCGGGTAAGCCGGTTGAGTCGACCTGCATAGCTTCTTCACCACCGGCGCGACTGGCGCCAACAGTCACCTTGGACAAAGCGTCGCGAGCTTCGTCTCTTTCCTTTGTTAACCTCGCAATGACTCGTACAGCAGCATCGTGTTGGTAGAGAGCTGCGCTCAGCTCCTGCCGCGTCTGGGCAAGGGTCTGACGCAATGTGTAAGTTTCGAGCGCCAACGCATCCCATTCTTCTTGAAACACGCCGAGCAATGAGGGAATGGATGTGAGGGTAGGAGGTCGGGGTCGGACAACGCGCTGGCTTTTGACTTCGATGAGTTCGTCGGCTGAGAGTTCCTCTCCATTGACTGGATCTTTTCCATTCTCAGCAATATATGCCTCGATAAGACGTCTTTCGAAAACGCTGCCTACTCGCTGTTAGACGAATGGAGCTCGGTTAAGGCTTGGATCCTTGACATACCGCTCTTGGGCGAGACGACTGGCACTTGCGGTGCCTCTCCCGAAACTGTTCAACGGTCAGCTATATGCATTCAAGCAAAAAAATCTGGAGCGGATGTTGACTCACTTGCGCACAGCATTGTTTTGTCTTATGAGTTGGTTGGTCTAGAGAGAGGTTGCTTGACGCGAGAGCTGCCGCCGCATTGGACTTTTCGACAAGACAGACTTCCGCCCTATCTGGGTTAGCCGCACCGCAAAGCTGGCTGATCGTCCTTTGCTTGGCATTTAAGCAACTCACGCGCTGTATCTACAGATTCCAGATTTATTTCGCTTCCGAGCAATACTACTCCGTGTGCTACTATCTTTGTATTCTCTGATGATGGTACAACCATTTGCGCTTGGTTAACTCACCTTTTTTACGTTCTATTAGCTCCTCCTTGTTGGCAGGATGCAGTTCGACTGAGAACATCAAACCCAGAAACTCCCGCGCTACTGACACTGATTCAAACGGCATTAGAATTAGCTATTGGCCTCAAGCATCGCTAAACCGATTTTCTGACTGTGCCTTTCTCTGATTCGAGACTAACGCGTCTTGTATTCAGGAGTCATGTCCTTCAACGCGAAGAATCTCGCCTATGGTATGCTATAACTTCTCGCTCACACGGCACTTCTTCGTCTAACGTAAGGCAGAGAATAAACAGCCCGCTTTTTTACAAAGACTCAGAAACCAGTACGGAGATACATCTGGTCGCCTTGAAAGGCCCGCTGCGCGACCCCGATTAGCGAAGAAAGATGACGTCGACGATGACGAGCCCACATATGTTGATGAAGGAAGTAACGAGGTGATATCAAAGGAAGAATATGAGGCACTATTGCGCGGTGACGGAAAACAACAGGACTCATCTGAACAACATTCGGGAGATCAGGGCCAGGCTACATCTAGTGATCATGCGTCTAGACACGACACTGAAAAACCAGACGTCGAGGGGGCGTCCTCAAAGCAGAATTTGGCTGGAATAGGAGGTCCAAAGAAGCGAAAACAGGCGAAAGTCGTTGCAGATGATAGTGTTGAAGCCGAGAATGACACGCCGCAAGAGAACACCGGGCCTCAGAAAGCAAAGCAGAAACAAAAGAAGAAGAAGATCAAGCTATCCTTTGATGAATGAGGCAAACATGCTATACTTAGTTCTTGATAACACCCGTTAGACAATGATATCATGGCTATTATATGTGAGAATAGTACCTCTACTAATGCACTTCCAGATAGACATATCTATAGCTGTAAATCGTCAACCCCCAGTAGGCCTGTTGACCATCTTGATCGGCAAGGTCAAGCCATGTCTCTTGCCTAGGTCATCTGTCAAGTAATTGTTACAGAGCTCTCCTTGGTGTGCTGTCATCGTTGATGTTGAGACATATATAACTGACTTCGCATTATCCGAAGATATTTTTTTCTACCTATTTCCGCAACAGCGGAACACCAAAGATCCGACCCTAAATTTCACCTTACGAGAACTCTCTCTGATTGTCAATCCTGGCAAATTTGATAGTCTCGATGGTCCTTCAAGATGCCTGTCGTTAACGTAGATGATCTAGTCCGTCTCCAGCAGAGACCTGAGGACATACGGAATGTGAGCTACCCCTCCATCCCACCTTGATGTCACATTTTCCACTTGTTCAGCGCTAACCATACCGCAGATCTGTATTCTTGCCCACGTTGTGAGTACTCATACAGCATATCTGCTTGAGCACGTCTAATCTATTGTGACGATGACTTAGGATCATGGGAAAACTTCCTTAACAGATGGTCTCATCGCCACAAATGGCATTATTTCACCAAAGTTGGCGGGCAAAATCCGCTATCTGGACTCGCGTCCAGATGAGCAGCGTCGAGGAATTACTATGGAGTCATCTGCTATCTCCCTGTACTTCTCCATGATGCGTCGCTCGTCCCCTGATGCTACTCCTCAGCCCAAAGAGTACCTGATCAACCTGATCGACTCCCCTGGGCATATCGACTTCAGCAGCGAAGTATCGACAGCTTCAAGGCTCTGTGACGGTGCTCTAGTTCTTGTTGACGCTGTTGAGGGCGTCTGCAGTCAAACTGTCACAGTGCTACGTCAGACCTGGGTTGAGCAGCTCAAACCGATTTTGGTCATTAACAAGATCGACAGACTAGTGGGAGAGTTAAAAATGAGCCCCATTGAAGCTTACTCTCATTTAAGCAGACTCTTAGAGCAAGTCAACGCTGTCATCGGAAGTTTCTATCAGGGCGAACGGATGGAGGAAGATCTTCAGTGGCGAGAGCGTATGGAAGACCGTATCAATGCCTCCGCCGCTCGAACCTCTCAGAAGCAGGAACAAGGCGATGAGTCAAACATGAGCAGCATCGATGATGCTGAATTTGAGGAAAGGGATGATGAGGATCTCTATTTCGCTCCGGAGAAAAACAATGTCATTTTCTGTAGTGCCGTCGATGGCTGGGCATTCACCGTTCGACAATTTGCCGCTCTCTACGAGAGGAAGCTAGGAATCAAGCGGGCGATCCTTGAGAAAGTGCTATGGGGAGACTTCTATCTTGACCCTAAGACGAAACGTGTCTTGGGGCCGAAACATCTGAAAGGACGTGCCCTCAAGCCAATGTTTGTTCAGTTGGTGTTAGACAGTATCTGGGCTGCATACGAAGCTACAACTGGTGGAGGGAAAGGCAAAGGGTATGTTCCATTAGCCGTGATTGGAGGTTGTTTTGATACTGATGTTGCGTTAGCGACCCAGCTTTGTTGGAAAAGATCACCAAGTCCTTGAACATCACGATTCCGCCTTATATTCTTCGCTCGCGTGATCCCAGAAACATCATGATGACTTTGTTCTCTATGTGGCTTCCTTTATCAACTGCTGTTTTGGTGTCTGTCATTGAATATCTTCCCAGCCCACCAGCTGCCCAAGCCACTCGACTACCAGGACTAATTGAAGGCTCTCCTGGCGCTGATTTTGTCGACAAGAAGGTCAAGGACGCAATGGTAGCGTTCAAGACAGGCAGAGACGCGCCTGTGGTAGCCTATGTCAGTAAGATGGTTGCGATCCCTGAAAGTGAGCTCCTGTCTAGCAAAAAGCGTTCAGGTGCGACCTTGTCGGCAGACGAAGCCCGCGAAATCGCACGCAAGAAGCGAGAGGAGATTGCGAAGATGCAGGCGGAGGCTGGCGGAAATGAGACGGACGACTATGCGCGGATCACATCAGCGCTCGAAGTGACCACGCTAGATGACAGCGAGGAACAAGGCGAACCGGAGGAGAAGGAAGATCCTGAGCACCTGATTGGTTTTGCACGACTGTACTCAGGCACCCTTTCGGTTGGTGATGAGGTCTATGTGCTTGCACCCAAATTCTCTCCGGCGCACCCTCATGCAAGCCCTGAGCCACAGAAGGTGAAAGTCACAGATCTATATCTCCTTATGGGCAGGAGCTTGGAGCCACTCAAGACCGTTCCCGCGGGAGTGATTTTCGGTATCGCTGGCCTTGCAGGTCATGTTCTCAAGAACGGAACTCTTTGCTCGCAACTTGAAGGAAGTATCAACTTGGCTGGCGTCTCGCTGAACGCCCCACCAATTGTAAGAGTTGCCCTTGAGCCGGCGAACCCTGCAGACCTGAACAAGATGGTCACCGGTCTGCGCCTCCTCGAACAAAGCGATCCGTGTGCACAATATGAGGTCCTCCCTAGTGGTGAGCATGTGATTCTGACTGCCGGTGAATTGCATCTTGAGCGGTGCATAAAAGATCTCCGCGAGCGCTTTGCCAAATGCGAGATTCAGACCGGTCAGACAATCGTACCCTATCGCGAAACAATTATCAGCGCACCGGAAATGGCACCTCCAAAGATACCAGAACTTGGCCGAGGATGTGTGCTGGCCGTTTCTCCTTCGAAACAGCTGACTGTCAAGTTGCGCGTTGTGCCCTTACCTGAAGCTGTAACGGACTTCGTCTCCAAGAACGTTGGAACAATCAAGCGCCTCCAGTCCGAGAAACATTCAGCAGGTGACGCCAAATCCGACGCGGAAGTAAGCAATGGGTCGTTGGAGACAACCCAACAGGTTGAGTCCGGTGATGCTTCTGGAGAAGCCCTTGAGGGCAATCAGCTTTCTCTGAAGGACTTCAAACAGGAACTCGTCAGGATTTTCAACGAGGAAGTCAAGGAGGACCGAGAGTTATGGGCAAATGTTGTCGACCGAATCACTGCTTTCGGTCCTCGACGAGTTGGACCGAACATCTTGGTAGACGCCACTGCCGTGAACACCTGCGAGAAATTGTAAGTTAGACACCCTTCTCGACGACATCATCAATCTAACTGGCGCAGCCTGCTCGACGACCCCAAACAGCAACCCAACGCTACAGCCGAGGAAAGCACCCGCGACTCCTTGACGGTCCGCGACTTCAATGACAAGATCGCGCACGCCTTCCAGCTCGCAACAGGTCAAGGCCCCCTCTGTCAGGAACCCATCCAAGGCATCGCCGTATTCCTGGAAGAACTATCCGTCAACGCCAGCGAAGGAGAACTAGACCTCGGTCGCCTGACAGGCGAAGTCATCCGACTAGTCCGCGAGAGCATTGCCCAAGGTTTCCTCGACTGGAGTCCCCGCATCATGCTGGCAATGTACAGCTGCGAGATCCAAGCTTCAAGTACGTTCAGACCCAATCCCAGACTCCCTGTCCCACCTCCCCCATCTCAAACCTCGACTAACAATGCTACAATAGCTGAGGTCCTCGGCCGAGTCTACGGCGTCATCACCCGCCGCCGCGGCCGCATCCTCTCCGAAACAATGAAAGAAGGAACCCCCTTCTTCACCATCCTGGCCCTCCTCCCCGTCGCCGAATCGTTCGGCTTCGCTGAGGAAATCCGCAAACGGACATCGGGCGCTGCACAGCCGCAGCTCATTTTCGCGGGCTTCGAGGCCCTAGACGAGGATCCGTTCTGGGTCCCGGCTACGGAGGAGGAACTGGAGGATCTGGGAGAGTTGGCTGACCGGGAGAATGTAGCGAAACGGTATATGGATGCTGTACGGAGGAGGAAGGGGTTGGTTGTTCAGGGAAGGAAGTTGATTGATGCCGAGAAGCAGAAGACGTTGAAGAAGTAGATTGTGGTTATTGTGATAAAAAAAACGTGAATTGAAAATGTGCGGAATCTAAAGACTCCAGGCCTACAATCTTACAAACAAATACTGTAGAGATACGAGATTTGTACCCTCAAAAGAGATTATTCCACATCCATCAATCAAGGACTAGGCATAGTAGGCGAGGGTCGTAGAAGATGAGTAGTCCTCCACGCGGAACAAACCATTAATCTTCCTCCCGTGACAAACACAGCTCAGCATTGGAATCGCCAGAACCATGGATACTAGGGAGGTGAAGAGATGAACTAATGGGAGATGTCAACAGGATCGGAAACGGGAGAAAAGATTTCTTCATTCTCGTTTGAAAAGTTAAGAATGAGTAAGATAGGTCCTTCCATGCTAACAGCCTCGTAGGCGGTGATGCTGGAGGATGTTGTTGCTCACGATTGAGCTAAACACATATGGGTATCTCATGTCTATGCTTGTTTGTAAGGGTTGCGCCGACGTATCCCGGACCCGCTATATGGACGATCAGAATGCCTGTAGGAAAAAATAGGCATAGTCCAATGGCCCCTTCGAGGACCGAAGGATCCTGCGGCTCGTGAATTTTCCTCGCAAGACCCAGTTTCCGAGATCGATCTCGCTCTGGAATGGGCAGAAAACAAGCCCGGAGCATCCGTGAGATGATCTTCTTGGAAACATCAACTGATGAAGTTTGATAATAGGCGACGCCGATTTATTCCAATCCCAAAGCGTCATCCAACCATGGATACCGCTCAAAACGGCCGAGCAACCTTTCGCAATTCTGCAACACCAGTAAGGGGATCTCTCATCTCCTTCCAGCTAACGGGGAACATCATATTGCCAGCCTCACTACGGGCCATGACGACGCCAAGGTCATTGCGCGCAGTGGTAAGATAATAGAAACTCTGGTCACCCAGGGAAATGACGGAACCACGCACAATATCTCCAACACGGAACATCTCATCCATCACGACGCGATCCTTCTCAACAGCACGCACATCTTCCTTCCGGATAAGCGCCTGGAAGCGAAGCTCGTCGGAGCTACTGTGATTCTCAGGATTGGCCGCCGAAGTGAGGATGGAGACGATGTTGTCGTTGTCCGAAGCTGTCTTCGACGGATCGGAGACTTGGGAACTGGCCGACTCGTCGAGCACAACGAGGATGGAGACGGTGGCCTGGCGTTTCTGGACACGGGTGACGCGTGCTAACACAATTGAGTCGACTGCGGGGAGAGTGTTGTACCTCAATTTCGGTTTCGTAGCGGTGGAGGTGGATTTTGCGGGTGTGGTCGAGGTAGAAGAGCCCGTTTTTCTCGGCAGGTTCCGCGAGACACTGAGGATAGATTTTACTTTTGAGCTGGGTTGAGCTTGTTGGACAACAACTGGTCCAGCAATGGATGCATAAATGTTGGAATTCTGCACATGGGTACCTGGTCCTGCAGAGTAAGAAGACACTGGGCCCAGGCGCTGGCCTGGAATAGCCAAAGCGGGTAGAGTGCTTGCCATCTCAACTGAATGGCACTAAGAAGTTGCAATCTGCTTCCCCCAAGGTGAAAAAAGGCAGTTGGTTTTCGGTTTGGAAGAGGAAGCTGGAGGCTAATTTTTGCTAGGATGTCTTGCGGAGACCGGCTCGGAAGGAGGTTTCCCCGGCCTATAGCAATCCCAGCCGACACCACAAGATGCATAACCATTTCGATGGGAAATTGATGAAGAAATAAATTGGTTCTCACTAAATCTAGGTATACTGCGATTCAAAGTATGACCTTCAAATCTGCTCTAGCATCAATACAGTATTCATGTGCACAACAAGCAGGGTAAAATAAGCGTGACAGTCCTGAAAGAAAACTATAGACGAACAGACAATTATGGATGAGAATTCTAGCGGGAATCCATAACGCACCAAATGCTCGCTGACGAAGGAAAGTAAAGCGTAAGAAAAAGACAACGAATCAATGCCCGCTTAGCACCCCGTGATAAGTAAAGGTCCGATGTGTTGAGAATGGTAAGAAGAAACGTCAAGATATGAGAGAGAAGAATGAAGAGGATATAGATGGTGACAATTATGGGATAGCATCGCACTAGCCTTCGACAAGAGTCTGTTTCGGACCATTTCCGAGTAGACCGAGGCATCGCCGTGCCAGCGCAATGACCTCGGCCTCACCATCCTCACCATCCTCTTCGTCTGATTCAATGTTCTTGTCCGAGATCGTTTTGACCATCTGTACAATATCTTCTGATTTGGATATGTAGCCGATGAGCCGCTTGTCCTCCGATTCCAGCAATTGAAGGAGAGTCCAGATGGCGATGTGCTGGAAGGTAGGGTCGCCGCTTGCAAGGAACCTTTTGAGATAACCGTGAATGCCGCCGTTAGGGTCTGCCCAGTCACGAACGAAGATTGAGTAATCGCCAACTGGTGCTCATTAGTACTTGCGCGATTGAAGAAATCGTTGAGCGATAGCTGGTGACATACCTTTCGAGGAGAGGTTACCCAAGGCAGCAGCACTGTTGCCCTGGACCTCGATACTTTCCGAGTTCGTAAGGGGGATCAGCACGTCGAAGACACCAAGATTGAGCAGATGAGGTTTCAATTCATCGCTGAGAGCCAGCACAGCGATTGCAGCGGTCATTTCAGATTGCACACTCAGAGGAACCCGAAGGACCAAATCCTTGCATTTCTGTACGGCACCAGCCTGAAGGACAAGCTCCTTGTTGCGATCAGAACTTGCGGCAAGGTTGCGAAGTGTAGATATGGCGTGACATTGTATCTCTTCGTTGTCCGTCGAACCCAGTAGGTCTACTAACGGCTTAAGGAAGCCTGCGTCGATGATTGGCGATTCGTTGAGAGGATGAATGGAGATATTGCGGATGCATGCGACAGCAGAAAGGATGAGGGGAAGGTATGAGGACTGCAACAGGCGCAGGAGAGGCGGAAGCCCCTTTGCACGAACAATCTCCAGCTGGTATTTCTCGTCGGAAGCGAGGTTTCGAAGCGCAAGGGCGGCCTGGCATTGAACTTTGGGTGTGGAAGAGTCCATGAGGTGAACAAGAGACTGAACCAACCGTGACTCCGTCTGGGCGAGCCGCTTGCGATTCGAAGCATCGACAGCAATATTACTGAGGGCGGTTGTGCAGTAGTATTGTACATCGACATCAGGGGAGGAGAGTAATTGAACAAGGACAGGAATTGCGCCGGCATTGACGAGTTGCTGCCGGTTGTCATCTACACGAGTAGTCAGCCAAGCTCAGAACAATCCTATCCCACGGTCCAACTTACCAGAATGCGTCATATTCAAAAGCGCTCCAGTGGCATTGCGTTGTACACGCATGTCCTTGGACTTCGCTAGACGGATCAATGGGCCCAGAGCCCCCGACCGGGCAATCTTGGCCTTGTTGTCCTCATGAGTTGCTAGATTGGTGATACAACCGACCGCGTTGCATTGAACTTCGACGTTGGGCGACATCATCTGACGTATGAGAGGAGCCAGCCCTCCCAGAGCAACAATGAGCACCTTATTCTCCGCTGGAACCCATCAGCATGAGTCGACGATGATATGAGATTGAGTGACAAACCGTTGACGGCAAGATTTCCGAGAGCTGCGCTAGCAGCCCGTTGAACTTCAATGTCCGAGCTCTGTAGGAGGAAGAGGATAGGCTCGAGCGTGTCCCGGTCAACTTCGCGCACATCTGCGACAATCACAATAATGTCAGTCCCAGCTTCTGGTTTTACACAATGACATGACGTACCTCGCTCAGTTATCTCGGCAAATGTCAAGCTAGCGCTTCGTTGAAGGTCCACATTATCAGAATAAACCAAGGTGCTCAGGGCGCGAAGGGGCTCGCCGGAGAAGAAGTCGGTTTCGGCTCGCTAGAACGCAGTAAAGTCAGCTTCCACAGCAAAACAGAGACCTGAGTTCGTTGAGGAAGCAAAGGACACGGTATGTCAGGTGCGAAGCGCAGGTGCATAGACAGATAAAGCTAGACGTACGTTCTCCAAGTAACCGAGCAAGTCGGATACAGCCTCCCGCTCATTGTCTGCTAGCGTTGTCTCATAAATTCCATCTCGCGAGCGACCTCCGATAGGACCGAGACAGGCCGTGATATGACACCAGCGGTCAACTGCCGATAGACAGGACAGACACGCATTTGCAATCCCACTCATACCTTCGGTGATGGGAGGCCAGAAGGCCCCGCAAGCGTCAGATTCAAAGCGAAGGTAGGCGTGAGAGACGGCAGTTGATCAAGATAAGAAGGAAGGTAGCTTTAGTTTCCCCCTTGTTGTTCTCTCTATCTCCGCTCCTTCAAACCGGGAGCTTTCGCGGGGATGTACGCGATCCGAGGATGGCGACTGGCTGAGCAAGGAGATGCAGGATGCGAATGAAAGTCGATTGGCGATGGACAAAGGACGGGAGGCTCTGCATATAGCACCTGGAGCTAGCTGCTGAGGTAGGAGCGGGAAGGTAGGGAACGTCGCGTGATAGGACGGGAAGACGAGGTGAGATAAATCCTCTTGGTCTCTGGTTGATGAGGTAATTACCCTGGTCAAGATCTTTTGATTTCTTCCAAGGCCTGTGTCCGACCTTTGGAATGCTGAATTATGAGACAAGAGGGAGGGGGGAAGGGTAGGAGATGGCAGACGGCAGGTTGGTTTAGGTTTAGCAAGTCTGCTGCTCCGTCTAGTTAGCTGGGTTACCTTAGTCTCGTCAGCGGCGGCTGTCACTGGAGAAGGAAGCTCCAAGTAAGTCTAACCATGTACGTAGTTGACTATCTACTGGATAGATAGATAGATATGTTGAGCATCGTTTATGCGACTACATTTAGGTCATCTTCGCTACCTAAAAAGCTTCTTGCTACAATTGAACCTCAAGAAAACGAAAATGCAGAGCGGTAATTCGTCATCGTCAACTTCTCCTCACCTCGTTTATCTCCATCACGACATTATTTATCTCATCCGCCCCAGCCATGCTTTTGATCTCCACCATGGGCCACAGTATGCTGCTTTGCCCGAATTTCTCCTACGCCCCGGCTGCTCGGACAGGGCCACCACAACTTGGCAAGCTCGCCTTGAGGGCTACTATCTGCGGAACCTAAACGCATTTTCATCGTCTTTCCAATGAGCCCAGAATGCAGCAGGACAGCGCCGACAAGTGGGAGTAGACAATTATCACACTACCAGGGGGCAAGCATATGATCTATCTTGGAACCAAAGAAGGCATGCTCCTACCAGGAGGCCTTGTCCTCATCTACATTTGCCTTGCGACTTTCCCTTGGGGGCAACAATGTGCCATCCCTTCTGATGACAAGCGTATAACCATGACGGTCCACTTGTTAAGTCGATTGGAAACTTGCTTGCGCTCCACCCATTCTCTACATCCAGCTAGCTACATCTGGGGATGTGAAATCCATCGAAACGAATATCGGATGATTAGTCCTAACTCGTGTCTTCTATCGATTTCTAAACATCCTGAGAGACTGAAGAGGCCTACTAACGAATGACGCGGTTGATCACCAGACAAGTGACGGATGATCAACATGACCAGGGTGTTTCCGAGTCAGTGGATGGCGGGGGCTACCCTTTTGAGAAACCACCAGAATCAACATTCATCAAAAATTGTCAAAAGTACGTCCGCTCTACACATAGCGCTGAGCGTCGCGCAAAGTTCGACCTTAAGACTAAAGCTTGAAATCGCACGAGTTGATGTGCACTGCGCTGCGCTGCACTTACTCCACTCATTCAACCATCCGGAGAAGAAGTCGCATTGCACTTTGATAAAGAAACACACACATTAATGATCAAGTCGAGAAGTCCAGATTTATCTCACACTTAAACTAGCTACAGGTCGTCATTCCAGCAACTCAAAGCAAACCAATCACAATATCACCATATAGCTGCGCCGTGATCTTGATATCGATTTCAGCAACCAGATCCAGATGAATGGTAATCTTCAGGTTGGAATCTTGGTTCTTCTTATTCTTCGCGCTTGGATCCTCTTTGGCGAACTTTGTGAAGCCGTCATTATCCCCGAGTTGTTCGTCCTTTTTCTCGTCGCTGAACGTTTCAATATGACAGATGAATCAGCACAGCACCTTTGGCAGATAAACACATTGTGTTCTTAGGGAATGAAAGACGGCAACAGATTACCTACCCCGCTGCCATGTTTCGAGTCAGTAGCACCTCTTGTGACAGAGTGGATTCAGCTTTGTGGTGCGTCAAGATCGAAGTATCACTCCTGTGAAGGACAAAGAACGGATACGGCGCGAAGATGAACCCGATGGAACATCATCTGCGCAAATGCAGCTCTTTTATCGGAGCTTCAGCTCTGGAAAGAGTGATTTGCCCCACGCCATAAGCCACCGGCTGAGATCATAGAGTCAATTAGCCTCAGAGCTTATCCTTAGACTGAAATGTCTGTCAAATATATCATGATGAGCGCAGTGTGTGATTCTGACTGGTTATCATGAAGAAGTAATGGTCGTCGATTGGGGGGGCAGTTGCCGAAAGCGGAAATCCCACCATGTGATTCAGACGAAGTTGTCAACGGACCCCATTATTATTTAATGTCTTCCATGACTTATGCCTGGTTCCATCTCCGACGCCAGCATTAAGAGAAAATTTTCTCCATTCTAACAAGATGGTGCTCGGAGTCGTCAACATTATCATGATGTCAGCCATGATCCCAACCATGATACCAGGTCTAGTGGGGCTTACGGAGGATAACAAGCACAACCGAAGAGATGACCACAACCTGAGACGCCAGGATGAGAAGCGCTGCGAGGCAGTTGATCGGAAACAGCCGTCCAATCTGCAAGTAACAACGAAGTTCCAGAAAGGCTCAGTAAAGGAACGACTCCAGCTTGATAATGCCAAAGTTTATGCACATCAAGATAGGAAAGTATGTCGTTTCAACTATAGTTTCCTGATAGTGTTTACCTGACAACATGCAGTTGTATATAACAAAACACCCAAGCCCTGAGATGGTTCTATTCAAGGGTGGCTTCTACCCACACCCTGCGTTTGGGTGAGGGAACACATCAGGATTCGTCTGCATTGGGGCTGAGTGCCCACCCACTCTGCGATGGGTATTCTGCGATGTAGCGACCTCTGAGATGCGGTACGGGAGTCGGGAAGATAGCGAGGGTCAGATATGTGGGCCTTGGGATGCTACACACGATGAGCAGGAATACGTGACCCTCCAAGACAATCAGTGGCTGGCTGTGCAGCTGCCCAATTGTAAAGAAAACCAAGCATGGCAGCTCTACTGCAATGGCAAAGACAGCAGTGCAACATTACCAGCTGGAGCAAGATTCATGGAAGTCCATCTGAAACGACTTCCAGTGGTATAGCATTTTTGAAACGCATCGAGAGATATATTTGCTCGCAATGACTCAGATTTATGCTTGGTCCAGTTGTATCATTGTATGTAAGCAAAGAGCGAGAACTTTTTATAAAATCCACATTGCGAGAACAGACTGTTTTTAGAATCGGGCATCATGTATGCGGCTCATATGCAGACCATAGTACTTACTGTAGTCCGTTTTTGACACATCAATGCTGCAGCTGAGATACTCTCAAGTGCAGATGACGTCATCCAGGCCCTCAGCTTCTCCGCATCGCGCCTGATCTAGATGGAATGGATCCATCCTTATCCATCTAGAGAGGTATTCGTGATAAAAATCATATCGTGAAATACCACTGGTGAGAAGGCGTCGGAGTCAATGGTCAATATCTGCTCTCGCGAGCATCTGTTCTGGAGCCAACCCAGCCAATGTGCGCCTTCAGCCGTCTGAACAAGCCTTTTCGCGAAATACCCTTGACAGTGACGCCGCTTACGAATCAGATGTAAGCTTGACGGGAATTACTATCTGTTCACCCTGATCCTAAAATATACTCTTCGCTGGCTAGGTTCCTGGATGGCTTGATGACTTTGCAGGTGGAACGGAGGAGTTCTTGGAGTGTCGCCAGCAACCATTTCGAGGCAACTTTGACGGAAGGTAAACTTCCCAGCGATATGATCGCCAGGAAATTGAATCTATGCGCAGCTTGCAGCGTGCACCGTGCCTTGTGCCTCAAGCCCTCAACTCAGGATATCAAATACAAGACCACTGATTTGCCACATTGACCACGTGAGAAAGTTTTGTCCAGAGACGTGTGCATCACATGAGACGTGCCGGGGATGTCTCCATCATGGAAACCAGAGCCAATAATAAAAGCAAGAGTCCAACCACCTGCGAGGCGAATCCTGAAGTCTGCAGCATGTTTTGGGTTGCCCCGCAGGCTAGAGTCCTAGACACCGCACTAAAACCCCAGAGGGACCTTTGCGCATGGTATGACCAGGGGAGGAGGAGCAAACCGCAACGACAGCAATTGTAGTATCTCCGGAGTACATTGTGGCGCGATGCTCTGTCGCGTCTTTCTCAGTTTGCTCCGTTAGGTAATATTGAAGATAGTTGCAGTAAGGGCTGTTGTCCATTGTTTGCTTGTACTGGCCGCGTTATTGGAGGATCCCATGGGAAAGAATGTTGACCAGAAGCCAAAGTGGAATTCCTTATGACTTATGAGGCCCAGCGGCCCCATTCGATTAGCCGTTGTCCACGGTTCAGGATCGCCTCTCCGAGCCAATACGTACCTGATTCCCACAAGTCTTATATAGGGGAAGTAAGACCAGGAGATGAAATCAATTCCAGAGCGGATTCTCTCCGATGAGTTGACAAAGTCACACCAAGCCGTCTTCGGTAGTATTGCTTCTGCTCATGCATTAGGTATTAGACCGTTCTTTTGTCCGTCAAGTACCTCTCTAGATACTACTACTACTAGTCCAATCCCCTATCCACTGTAGTCCACCAACTTACCACTTCTACTCCTCCTTAGTCTACTTACATTCTTGCCCCACTACTGGAGATCTTACCATCGGACGGTCCTTGAAAGGCTCGCATGGTTGGCCACCGTCTTCTTCGGCGCAAAAGCTCAAATTCTCTTTTCTTTCTCTCATCATCCCTCCCTTTGATGATTTCTTTCAATCTCCGAATCTCTTACTCGATATCCTCGCTCCAGATCTCCCCTGTGCAAACAGTTCCCGAGCTGCGATGCGACTAGTATAACCGCCATCCTCTCCCCGACCGAAACCATTATATATGCCCAGGATTCAGTGCGCAAATCTTAAGCATATTTGTCGGCCTTGACGTGATACCATATCAACATCATATTTATTTGATATCTAATCACATATTTTCTACCTCTTAATTGACTGTGTGAGAAGCTTTCCCCGAGCACGATTCCTTTGGTCTGGCACTGCTGTGTTCTATTCCACCTGCCTGCTGCCCTACATGTCTGCATCAACCGTCTCCGCCTCCACCGCCAACTTCCCAGCCGATTCTCGCTCTGGGCCCCGCCGACGACTAAGCCAACTACGAGCCTACACTCAGAATCATTTTTCACCTCATACCACCTCCTCTTCTGCAAATCCTCAGCGCTCTTCCCGTCGACATACCTTCAGCAGTCGTGTTTCTTGGTTTTCCCCTTCCTCTGCCTCGTCGACTAGCCCGGAGTCTTCGTCTCTCCCTTCAGTGGGGACCTCGCATCCAGCTCCATGCCCAAACAGCGATCAATCTGCTCTCGCTCGTTATAGCTCCGTCTTCTTTCCTAGCTACCGCGCTATCGACGTAGATTTGCAGACTCGCGATCTCTCAACAGACTCGTCACGATCGACCCCTTCGAACGACTCCGGTGGTGAAAATTCTCTCGAGGCGATGGCGCGTTCGGGAGCTTCATCAGGAACCTCGAATACACGAGATGACCAGCGAGCATCGAGCTCGTCTACCTCAGTGAATCCCAGCACGAGCACTTCCGAATCTGCAAATCCGACCGCGAGTCAAAATTCTTCGTCCCCTGACCCGAAGGGAAAGGCCACCATCCGCTTCTTTCCCCATCAGGATTCCAGCCAAAGCTCCAGGCCATCCCTGCACTTCATTCCTATTTCACGAACTCTACCGTCGGAAAGTAGTGTGATTCGTGTTGGCCGATACTCCGAGCGCGATGGTATGCCTGTGGCCAACCCTACCGAACCTTCGGATGCCCCTGTCGGATTCAAGTCGAAAGTTGTGAGTCGGAAACATTGCGAGTTCCTCTACATAAATGGACAGTGGCATATCAAGGATGTGGGGAGCTCGTCTGGAACCTTCTTGAATCACATGCGGTTGAGCCAGCCAAATATGGTTTCGAGGCTCTATACTATCAAGGATGGCGACATCGTACAACTTGGCATCGATTTCAGAGGCGGTGAGGAGATGATCTTTCGATGCGTGCGGATACGCATCGAGTGCAACCGTTCCTGGCAGCAGCAACCCAACGAGTTCAAGTACGGAGATCCCCCTGAACGGCAGAAATATTTTACCGTATGGCGAAGCTGACAGACAGATTCTTTAGCAAAAACACTGCAAGCCTTATCAAGAATCTTGGCAAAGGGGAAACTGCGGATTATTCAGGTTGTCGCGAGTGCTCAATCTGCCTCGGATCGGTGCTGGTTAGTCTCAATTATTGGCAAATGATATTCGCGAAAGGATAGACGACTGACCTGACTTGCAGCGACCTTATCAGTGCTTGTTCATGGCAGCTTGTGCTCATGTATGGCATTACAAGTGTATCAGCCGTCTTATACATACTCCTGAGTACCCGATGTTTCAATGTCCCAATTGTCGCGCATACACAGACTTGAGCGCCGAGGTGGACGATTCCAACGACTCAAACGGTGTGGATACGAGCGAGCAGAAGGATGATGTCCAGGAGCCAGCGCAGACGCCAGCAGTAGAGCCTTCATCAGAAAGCCAAGCACCCTCAGCGGATTCGGACCCGGCAGCAGCTCCCACGCATGTGCGCACGGGAAGCAATCGTCAAACAAGCGAGACAGCCGTTGAGGAGGGACTAGCCGATAACATCGAGAACATGCGGCTTCAAGACGATGCTCCGTCTGAAGCTGAGGCAGAGCGAACTCCGAACCTGGCATCCACCTCTCCTGAACCGGCTGTGAGCAACGTTACTTCTGCTCCTACAACTGATGCTGATGTTTCCGTTCTTCCATCCGGAACTCAGCTCTCAAACCCCGTCCCGATCAGACAAGCACACCTGCGCTCTGACACACCTTTCCGCTCCGAGTCGTCCGATGACAACCCGCTCACGCCTAGGAACGATTCAGGACCTTTGGCCTTCGATGGTAGAGCTGGCATGCCGTAATAGCTTTCCGCTGGAGCGGTTCAATTTTTACACTGGAACATCATAACTGCAAATGCCTGGTAGCGTGCATATGCATATGCATTGCTGAGTCATGGCCTAATTGCCAGGAAGGTTCGTGTTGAACAGATCAGCTGGACCCCTTCCAGAATCGCACCTCTACATTTGAAGCGCTATCTCTTATTATATTCAAATAATTCTCTTTCCCTGCAGGAGTTTTTGTGTCGCCGGTTATCCTATAAGCTGCTGTCTCGCTATTGAACCGCTGCTCTTATTTACCTATTCGAGACACTTCATCAGCCGCCTACATTATACCCCATAGTGCACCCCGTCTGCTTTTCAGCTGTTTTTGTACTTGACCATATCATCTGGCTTCGGTCTTTGAGATGTTTGGGTCTATCCCGCGCATTACATTTTTATCATGACATTCAGCGTTTCCTACTCCGCATTGTGACCAGTTTTTCGATCCATGTATCTTCTCCGTCCCCGGCTTGGGCGTTGGCGTCCTTTTCTCGCTTGCGGAACTTTATTGGACGATCATGCCCAAGTTTGTGTTTCTCATTGCAGGTTGGTTCCCTTGACTTTACTCATATCACCTACTGTCGCTTAGCGTTGAGCATGCACATATGCAGATTAGCTAGGTAGTTTACCTCGACCGCACCGCAGACAGACTTGGTCTCGGCCATCAACTGCGCAACCAGTAAGACTTTTCTTTTGATTTATCAACAAGAAGCATGCCCATCATTAGACGTCACCTTGCTTTAGACGAACCAACGCCATCGCAGTACTGTATACCCCGCCCGAGCCAGTTGGCGGTTGGATCCTGATCGCCCGTATCTGTGCTTGATTAATGGCTGCCCCTCCCCCCATTTCGAATATACTGACGATCATTGCTCTAAATACGTCTTCGCCATGATTAGGTGAAATCTCCAGCCATCTATATAAATACCGTTCTCGTCACCTCACAAATTACTACAATTCAATTGAGCCGCGTATCAGACTAGTAAGCTCTGGTCTTGCCAGATTTAGACTCGTGTATCCGTAGTCCTGAGTCTGTTCGAACTTCGTTGACCGCTAGACTGTCTGAAACGGCCGCCCCTCCTACCCGCTAATTTTCCTCCATGTTTACTTGTTTGTTTTGATAACTGGTCCTCGCAGTTGTCAACGAATTTGTCCCCCGTGGAGAAATTCATATAAGATGAGAGTTAGCACGAGCGACCCTCCCTCTCCGACGCTGGGGCGTCAGAACGGCACTACGTTCAGCTTTCGGCGCGAGGGCGCGCATCATCATCGGACGGGGACGCATCCGCATTTGTTGTCGAGTCGGAGGAAGCCGAGGAGGTATGTATTCCATTATTGCATTCTTCCTAGTTGTGAGTGGTTGATGTTAAGTTGTTCAGATGGCCGTTAGTCTTCAGGTTCATCAAGGGTGCTATCCACGCTGCGATTCTGGTGCCCGTGTGCCTGCATGCGCTGTTTACGGCGTTTGTGGTCTACCTTGATGAGTATGTTTTTGATACAGTTGGTCTGCCGAATAGCATTGTATGTTATTTACGCCCCCGACTCAAGCTGTTTGAGTGTCGTGCTGATAACAGCTCTAGATTCCGTCTCTGTCTATCGTCGTGGGTTTGATGCTCGTCTTCCGCAATCAGACATCCTACAATAGATTCTGGGACGGCCGCAACGGCATGAACACAATCAACACCTGTGTACGCAATCTCGTCCGTACGATTGTCACAAATGGCTACAGTGAGCGCGGCCCTCCCACCGCCGCTGAACAGCAGGACATCGAGCGGACAATCCGTGTTCTCATGGCGATTCCCTTTGCCGTCAAGAACCACCTTCGCGCTGAATGGGGCGCGGCATGGGCTTTGGGGAGCGATGTTAATGAGAATGGCACCGCGGTGTATGACACTGACTACGCGAGCCTTCTTCCCGCGGGCCTGGAGGGTCATGAGGATGACGGGCTCGGTCTGCCTTTCCAATTGACCTTCTTTGTGGATGGGTTTATCAAAAGGGGTGTGGAACGGGGGTGGTTCAATGCTCCCGGAGCGAGTCAGATGCAAGGCCAGCTGAACACGTTGACAGATGCGTATGGGAGGATGGAAACGATCAAATTGACTCCCATACCTGTCGCTCATTTGTGAGTATTCTCTTCACCTTTCTGAGTTTGCCCGCATGATGCTCATAGTATGGTCAGAATCCATCAAAAGCAAGTCCTCGCGCTGTTTGGATGTGTGCTCCCGTTCGCCATGGTCGATGACATGGGATGGTGGGCCATCCCGATAGTCAGTCTTGTGATCTTCACCTTGTACGGCATTGAGGGCATTGGCTCTCAACTCGAAGATCCCTTTGGATATGACCGCAACGACATCAAGATGGACGCCATAGTCGGAGACGCCAAGATCGAAATCGGTGCTGTGCTTTCAGAGTGGCGGAAGCTTATGGCTTCCATGGTGTCAAATCCTCCACCCGCGGATGGGAATGGCGTTACCGAGGAAAACAAATCTAGCTTTGCGCCTCCTGATATGTTCTTGAAGGCTGCCCCGAGAGTATCGAGGTGATGATTAGGCTGCCCCTCCACATATACCCTTGCTGTCCATATTTTGCTTTATGCAATTCATATGTCCATAAATGCGATTTTATGATACGCAACGCGCCGAGATTTCAGACACGATGGATCCCCCTTCCTGAGTAAATACAGTTGCAGTTTAGTAGCAGCTGTATCCGTCATGTAGCAGCTGCGCTTCTCTCCGGAAGAGCATATTGTCATGCGGGGACAGCACTTGATGTGGTACCGTTTCGGCTTGTTCCGAGATCCACACCATCGATGATCGGGTACTGCGGCTGTCTGCAGTCGTTCTAGATCGTGTGATTGAAACAAGATATTGAAGCGTCCCACCGTAGGGTCATGGGGATGCTCAATGAGTGGATTGGGTGACACAACCACTTAACGCGCGGCTGGAAGAGGTAGCGTAGGTGAGAGATCGGAATAATTCGTCTGACCAGTTTCCACCAAGGAAAGACCGGAGCTGTTTCGCATTGGAAGGTGCGCCCAGACCAGATGAACAACCGCTTGGCTTCTTTTAAAGGATGACATCCGCCCGTCGTTCTTCACAGGCAGGGAAACATTTATTCGCGCAAGTACCTCGGTAGGCGCAAGATTTTGGCAACGCCAGCACGCAATTATATATGCAGAATAACCAGACTCATACTTCCAAAGATATTATAAACTCTGAAGATATACATTCCGAACAAAATGACAACGAATGACCATCCCGTCATCATAGTAGGCGCCGGCCTAGCAGGTCTGGTAGCGGCCTACGAGCTCTCGAACCGCAACATCCGGTCCATCATCGTCGACCAGGAAAACCAAGCCAACCTAGGCGGACAAGCATTTTGGTCCCTCGGAGGAATCTTCTGCGTAAACTCAAGTAACCAACGCCGACTCGGCATCCGCGACAGTCGAGAGCTAGCCATGGAGGATTGGCTCAACAGCGCAGGATTTGACCGCGAAACGGACCATTGGCCGAGAAAATGGGCGGAAGCATTCGTTAACTTTGCGACGGATCATATGGAGTCGTACCTTGGTGCATTGGGTGTGCGGTTCACCAGTGTGGGCTGGGCTGAACGGGGGAGTGGGCAGGCTGGCGGCCATGGCAACTCCGTTCCGCGATTTCACATCACATGGGGAACAGGGCCGGCGATCGTCGAGGCATTCGCCGGTCCGGTGAAAGAAGCGGCGAAGAAAGGGTTGGTTGAGTTTCGATTCCGGCATCAGGTTGATGAAATCATCGTTGATGCTGAGACAGGAGCTGCTGTGGGTGTTCGAGGGCAGGTCTTGGAGCCGACAGACGTGGAGCGAGGTGTTGCTTCTTCGCGGAATAGCGTTGATACGTTTGAGCTTCGAGGCGCTGCGGTGCTTGTCTCCTCAGGTGGCATTGGCGGAAACCTGGATCTGGTGAAGAAACACTGGCCGGTGGATCGGCTGGGTCCCAAGGTGCCTCAGTCTTTCGTCCTTGGGGTCCCTGCGCATGTTGATGGGCGTATGATCGAGATCTCCCAGAAAGCTGGAGCCAGTTTGATCAACAGTGACCGGATGTGGCATTACACTGAGGGATTAACCAACTGGAACCCGATCTGGCCAAAGCATGGGATTCGAGTCATTCCTGGGCCATCATCTCTCTGGCTCGATGCTACGGGAAAGCGACTGCCTCCGTTTTTGTATCCCGGTTGCGATACACTTGCTACTCTACGGCATATATGCTCGACGGGGTATGACTATACCTGGTTTGTCTTGAACAAAAGCATCATCGCCCGTGAATTCGCCCTTTCTGGGTCAGAACAGAACCCGGATATCACTGGCAAAAGTATCCTCCTTCTACTTAAGCGGATATTCGGTTCCAACGGCACGGGTCCTGTACAAGCCTTCATGAAGAATGGAGAGGATTTCATCGTGGAGGCGTCTCTGAATGAACTACTTGAGAGAATGGACCACCTCGGACAAAAGCATGGAGGTCCTCCTCTGGATATAGACCAAGTCAAAAGGGAAATTGAGCTCCGTGATGCACAGGTAGAGAACAGTTACACCAAAGATGCGCAATTGATGCTAATCCAGAATGCACGCAACTTCTGGCCTGATAAATTCACCAGAGTCGTCAAACCTCACAGACTTCTGGACCAGAGTTATGGACCCTTGATTGCCGTCCGAATGAACCTCCTCACTAGAAAGACTCTCGGGGGACTAGAGACAGACCTGAGCGCAAATGTTCTTCGTCAGGATGGGACTCGCTTCACGAACCTGTACGCCGCTGGTGAAGTTGCAGGCTTTGGAGGAGGAGGTGTGCATGGCTACAATTCCCTTGAAGGCACATTTCTGGGGGGCTGCATTTTCTCAGGACGAACTGCAGGTATCGCTATCGCTGAAGATCTGGCGAGGGCTCCTACGAGACAATCTTTGTGAGCTGTGGAAGTATCGCAGCGGAATGATGAGTAGACCAGAATAGGTTGCCGTATTAGCAGTCCAGGATAGGTTGTCGAAATATTGAGATCGATATGGCTACTCTAATATCCGGGCATAATTCCAAATCAACTCTGGATTTGTAAGATTATCTTTCCCCAAGCAGTGCCACTATCACAATGGCTGGCTGACTTCAATGTGATACCCGAAGCCTAGGAAGAAGATGATCATACGAATACTCCATAGTGATCTCGGACGGTGATCTTCAGGAATCTGCTCGGCTAGGCAACTTGAATCACAGATCTATGTAGCAATTCGAGCCTTCATCAAAGCCGACGTTAAATCAGAAATGGGAAGCGAGAATGATATACCGTCTTTCTTATCACCAGTGTCATCCCCTCCACGGATCTAAACACATAGAGGTCAGTCGCCTTGGGATTTCCCATTATCAATGCAGCGAGTTTTACATCGAAGAACCTCAAATCAAATCATTGCAAACAACCTCGTACCCAGACACAACCTGTAGTGGAGATCCTTCATTCTCCTGGCGTATGCCTAAAGTTTCTTTGCGGTCACCTCTGCCCTACCTACCAATGCCGATGACAATACCAGCGCCAATGCCAACACCTGCCAGCAGTTTGACAAATGAGCAGAAACCGCGCAACAGGCCTCTTCTCTCCTTGACAAATTGGCCAAGCTGATTGATAAAAAGACCGTCCCGACTCTAGATCCGTCCTCCAACTCGATTGGAATAACAGTGATGATCCTACTGCGGATGGGCCGTCGGACTTGAGCCGATTGAAGTTATCCTTGAGGGTGTGCTAGACTTGTTAGAAGCTCTTCTATCCGGGCCGAATCTGAGTGACAGATCTAATGTGGCGGATGCGACGGTGGAGTCGCCTGAGCCGAGTGGACTAGACTTCCCAGATATGGAGACCTTCACAGGCAAACCATGATGGACACTGTGTCATGCTTTCTTGCTTGAGAAAGTCACTGGTCGGCGGGATAGCTCGCTGACAGACGTCAGTTTGTAAGGACATGAAATAAAATTTCGGTTATTTGTCGATTCATAATGGAGCCTCCAGTGCAAGAACACCGTCCAGTACGGAATCCGGAGTGGCATGAGCAAGGACTTTAGTCACGGCCTGTATGTCACTCCCATATTGCAAACTTCTATCATCTTCAGGTTTTGCTAGGACAATCCGATGGCGGAAGGCTTTCCTTGCCGCCAAAGCCACAATCGAGGGTGTCAAATAGTCAATCCCGTGTAATGTTGCGAGTAGTCTGCCAGGCATGAATAAGTACACTCTTCAAGGGAAACGGATTGGCTGGACGTACTTTGAGAGTTTCGTAAACTGCATGTTTGATCGCGCAGTGATGCCACCAGCAACAGCGCGGCTTAGTCGCAAAAACACAACAATATCTTGCTGGTACCGTATTATGTCTGCACCCACTGAGACCGATGTGCTTAGCTGTTGTATTTGGTCCAGTAACTTCATCCCAATTCATTAGCAGGAGGCCAATCCAGAGGTTGAAGGAAAGCATACCTTTTGGTCGACTGCTAGATTCTGCTTCTTTAGCGGAGCATCCAATTTACGGACCACAGACGAGGCTGACAACTGTCCATCTGAGAGCCAGTCGGTATTTTCTTCTAGATGAACATAGCCGTCTGTAGGGTCATGAAAGTGAGAGAGGATGAGGTGGTCATTCTAGTTGGACGTCAGTAGATCAACAGAGCACTATGGCGCAGAATAATGCACGTACCAGGTGATGATTCAAGCGAGGTTTAAGCTGGTCCGAGTTTCGCACTACAAGAGGGATGAAGAGGAAGTCAGGCGGAGCTTCTATTGGGCCATGATGTGTGTTCAACCGTTTGGAGCGCATCAACTGTCGATGATTCAGCAAAGTATCGTCGTAATGATCAGGCAATCCTACCTCCAAAGCATGAAGTTGTACACCCTCGTCAACATAATTGAAATTCTTGGCAATAACGACGTCGACGGCTTTCTTGTTCCCAAAGACACTGCGGAAACCAGGCGACCTGGTACGATCTCTTGATTCCGTAGTATTGTGAGGGGTCGACAGCTGGAATGGTTAGTCGTTGTCGTGAAGTCAAAGTTGTGGATATCGCCTTACAGATTCAGCACCCTTACGTGGGCGTGAATAGGGCGCATTCGCCTTGAATACATCCGACACGAGAACTTCGGAGTAAAAATCCTCGAAGGAGGTAGCCGATGAGCATTCGAGGATTTTAAACGTGCGGCCGAATATGTTCAAGCATATCTATTAAACATATTAGTGGCTTGTTGAGCAAGGAGCGAACAATCAGTGTTCAAACTTACCAGGGCCAATTCTTTCGCAACGTCATGGATGCAGGCGTCTGTTGTCTCAATGAGACAATGTTCATGGATAGCAATGGATAGTAGAAGTGCAATTTCAAGGTCTGAAAGATCAGAGACTAGACTGCTTATGTCTTCTTTATCATCCATGATGATTAACTCCTGGAGCCATGATGTTGATGCTACCCGAAGCGAAATGGATCAGTGTTTGAGTGAGAGATAACAAGGTGTAATGGCACGTAATGATGCCTAAGGTATATATGACCCGATCGGGGTTAGCGCGGAATTAGGACATGTGGACCTTCGGATAGACAAGGCAACTGACCGCGATCAGTCAGTCCAAGCCCATTACTGCATTGGACTGATACGCGTCTCTGCACTGTGTATCATTCATCAATGAATATAACTAAGCACTATCAATGGCGCCGTCAAATCCTCTTGCGAATTGGGAGCGACTAGGGGACAGTTTCTATAGGAAAGTCACTGTGTATGACGCTATCTTTGACGAGGATGAGGACTTGGACAACTACATTGTCGCCGGCGCGCCATATGGAGGAGCTATTGGTACGTTACAAGTGTGATTCCACTATCTCTCTCAATAACTGACGAGATGAATAGCCCTTCATCGTGACGAAAGCAAGCCGTACAGGTTTCGGGATGCTCATACAGCTAGATCAAGCATTGACATCTATTCGTGCTCTGGAAAGCACATAAATCGCATTAATGTAAGCTTCCTGCCATAGTGTTGATGTACTCATGCTAATCTTGTAGTGGGAACATGGGACGATTCGAGGGCTCGGCTGGTCCGACCAAGAAGAGTTGCTAGTGATCACAGAAGATGGAACGGTCCGCAGATATTTCGGTTTGTATGGCGACTTTACGTCTTTTTCTCTAGGAAATGTGAGTCCAGCATGAATACATAGCAGAGCCACGATGTTAACCTTGGCTAACAGGGAGCTGAAGAATATGGCGTCAGAGCATGCAAGTTCTGGAATAACGGCTTTGTCGCTTTGCTCTCAAATAACCAACTGATTGCTGTTTCAAACTATGATGAGCCGCGACCCAAGCTGCTAGCGCCTTGTCCAGAAGGAGAAGTTTCTTCGTGGTCTTTGATTCCGCCACCATTTACTCTGTCTCGTTCAGTGGAGGTGCTACTGGCAGTTGACAAGACTATATTTTTGATTGATTCCACAGAGGCAGAAGACAAAGTGCTTCAAAACGGACCTTTCAAGCATGCAAGCGTGTCGCCTACTGGTCGATTCGTGGCCCTTTACACCGCCGAAGGTAAGGTCTGGGTAGTGAGCAGTGATTTTCAGAGTAAACACAGCGAATATGACCCGCAATCGCGGGTGACTCCTCGTACCGTCGAATGGTGTGGTGATGATGCCGTTGTCATTGCATGGGAGGACGAGATACATCTCATTGGTCCCAACGGCGCTGCTGCTAAGTGAGCCGTCTTCTTTGATTACAATGTCTGCGCAAACTTACCATGTGAAGGTATTACTACGACGGCACTGTGCATGTGATACCCGAATGTGATGGAGTTCGATTGATTACGAATGATAACTGCGAGTTCTTACACAAAGTTACAGGTAAGGGGAGCACTATATGCGGCATAACAACGGCTAACAACTAGGCTCGGCACAGATGTCACTGAAGCCATCTTCAGGCTTGGTTCCACAAGCCCAGCTTCGGTCCTTCTGGATTCGGTAGATCTCTTGGAGAAAAAGTCGCCCAAGGCCGACGAAAATATTCAACGCATTCGCTCCAGTTTACCAGAAGCGGTTGATACCTGCGTCAAGGCCGCGGGTCATGAATTTGATGTCTACTGGCAGAAGAGGCTGCTGAAAGCTGCTTCTTATGGAAAGTCTGTCTTGGATCTGTACAACAGCGATGAGTTCGTGGAAATGACGGAGAAACTTCGAGTTCTGAAGGCAGTGAGGGACTACCAAATAGGGGTGCCTATTTCTTATGAGCAGTATCTGCGACTCACACCAGAGAAGCTCATCGAACGTCTGGTTAACCGACATGAATATCTGCTTTCCATCCGAATATCCGAATATCTCCGGATTCCAGCGGACAAGATCTACGTTCACTGGGCCAGCCAGAAGGTCAAGGTCTCCACAGTCGACGACGAAGCCGTGTGCAAACTCATTGTGCAGAAATTGGAAGGCAAGCCCGGTATATCCTTCGAGCAGATTGCTCAAGCTGCGTACGACGAAGGACGCGCTCACCTGGCCACGCAGCTTCTGAACCACGAACCCCGGGGCGGTAAGCAAGTTCCGCTGCTGCTGAAAATGGAAGAAGACGAAGTCGCCCTGGACAAGGCGATCGAGAGTGGAGATGATGATCTTGTCATCTATGTACTCTTGCACTTGAAGAGCAAACTCCCTCTCGCCAGCTTCTTTAGGATGATCAACACCAGGCCCATGGCCTCGGCATTGGTTGAAGCGAATGCTCGAGGGGAAGATACAGAGTTGCTGAAAGATCTATTCTACCAGGATGACCGCCCTATCGATGGTTCAAATGTCCTCCTGTCCGAGGCACTGAATGCGACAGACTTACCGCATAAAACTGAGAAACTCCATCTCGCATCTCGGCTATTGTCAGATTCTAAGGATGCCACTGTGGTTTTACAGCAGAAACTGTTCTCTGAAGCGTCACAATTACTCAAGGTTCAAGAGGCTCTGGACAAAGACATTGCAGATCGCTCAGAGTTTGTCGGCCTCAGCTTAAATGATACTATCTACAGACTGATCAAATCGGGGTACGGAAAACGAGCGCACAAGATTCAGAGCGAGTTCAGGATGCCAGACAAGACATATTGGTGGTTGCGACTAAGAGCCCTGGTCGCTAAGAGAGACTGGGGTGAATTGGAAGAGATAGGCAAGAACAAGAAATCCCCGATTGGGTGGGAGGTAAGTGAAACACTAGCTGCACCCTGATATTTCATTAAACACATACTCACATACAGCGGTATAGCCTTTCTATAATGAAGTCCTAGGTGCTGGCAACACCAAGCTCGCTTCGCTGTTTATTCCGAAATGCACCAATCTGCCCGTCGAGGAGAGGATTGAAATGTGGGTAAAATGCGGAATGATCGTAAAAGCCGGAGAGGAAGCCCACAGAGTAAAAGACGTCAATACTCTCGAACTCCTTCGGGCGAAAGCTTCGGGACCAGCCGCTGCTGAGATTGAGCGGATGATCAATCAGCTCAGACCAAGGAAATAGCTGACTCGATATATTCATTATCTCATTCCATCGAATTTCTCAAGTAATGTCATCATCAACGTCTATGTCCGCATGATGGCCTGCCACAGGGTTCTGCGTGACCTTCGCTGGCTTTGAAGTTCGCTTTTTGGTTTCCGGTGCACCAGAAACATCAACCATAGCATCATCGAGATTGGTATCATCATCCCGCTCTTGAAGAGCTTCGAACATGGATCCAGATACATTACGATTTAGAGCTTCCCAATCAGACTGAACACCACGTGTCAGCAGTTGCATTCTCATGGACATAGACAAGAAACCTTCATACCCTGCGTGATTTGACATTTTTAGCCCGGGAGACACTCTTGGCTACCTTCTTCTCGAGCTGAGCATAGACAATTTCAGCTCTTTCAATGCCCTTTTGTTGTCTTAGGCGCTGTGCTCTTGTTTTGGCTTTGGCCTTTGATTTTTTCGACACCCCAGCATTGGTGCGTTCATTCAGAACAGAATCTCGCTGTATGACAGTGTTTTCAGCTCGTGGGAGTGAAGTCAACGACTTGTCGACGTCGAGACTTGGGGAAGCCGCCCGCCGAGCGGCGCGAGAATGTATTGACTTGGCTATAATTCGCAAGCTGACATTAGCATCAAAGCATACTTTCCCTCTGGTTTCTTCGCAGAAAACTTACGTCTCGCTTTGGCCATTCTGTGATATGATACTCGAGATGAGAAATGAAAAAATAGTCAGGACAAAGTTGTTGATGTGGAGAAGCCGCTTATCGATAGAAGAAAAGTTCCGGCGGCCGACAAAGACCACATCCGCAGCCCGCGGCTTCTTTTGCAAAGGCTGACGCGAGCTGGCGTAAGATGATCCTGGTTCCATTCATGTGCACACATCTTCTTCCCCTTCCTTCTCATTTGATGCTCCAAAGGCCTCTATGCCGTCCTCTTTCTTATCTTCTAGTTAGCCATGAATGCTCGAAGAGGGGGATTCGACATCCTCACTCAGAGTCCTTTCCATAACCCTCAAAATAGCCAGCATGAGACGTTTCTGCAGCGGTTGCAGAGTAATAATAAGACTCTAGCCTACGGAGTTGCGGCTGGCCTTTTGGCTTATTTCGTCTTAAATTATTTTGGAGTTGCCCCGATTTCGATACCACAAGCTCTGTGGAACCTCATAGTTTATTTGACACCGTCTCGAATAGTTGTTGCTCTGGATTCGAAGACATCGAAACTAGATTCAACTGACAAGGACCTCCTTTCCATGAACTTTCAGGCGAAGAGCGAAGCAATGCAACGTATTCTTGGACTCGATAGCTCCTCCCTCTCCTCCTTCCTTCCCCGTTCTACACCCTTTTCAGGATTCGGTACGGCGTTACTCGGCGCTAAGGACAATCTGCCCCCGGGGCTTGGAAACTGGGACAATTCATGCTACCAGAATAGCATCATTCAGGGTCTAGCATCTCTGCACTCGCTTGCGGAGTTTCTGGAGCGCAACGTCCAGACATTGGGGGATAAAGGATCCTTCTCGACTCATCAGGCTCTCAAAGGCATCATCGAGCGACTGAACAATGCTGATAATCATGGTCAGCGGCTGTGGATTCCGGCGGACCTCAAATCGATGAGCAGTTGGCAACAGCAGGATGCGCAGGAATATTTTTCGAAGGTTATGGGTCAGATCGATCATGAGGTGCAGCAGGCTACGAAACGCCGGACGAGGAATTTGGGCTTGAAAATGGCGGGGCCGGTCGAGAACATCGTCGGGGCAGGATGTTCGCATATGGATGCGGACGACGCAGACCTTTCATCTGGTTGGGCAACTGAACGTCACCCGACTCGCAACCCTCTGGAGGGCCTTCTTGCGCAAAGAGTGGGTTGCATGAAGTGCGGCTGGACCGAAGGTCTTTCGCTCATTCCGTTCAACTGCCTCACAGTGCCACTTG